CCTGACCCCCCATTGTCAGCCTCTATTTCTCTTCCTAGGCAGTTATTTATACTCAAGGTCTATGTATTCACTCCCAAATCACTCCTCAAACAACAGAATGATCTCTACCCTCTTACCCTCTTCCCTCCACTAAAGTAGCTACAAGAACACCATGCCTGTTCGATTCCTGGTCAGGGCATATTCCCAGGTTGCGGGCTTAGTCCCCAGTGTAGGGTTGCATGAGGTAGCCAATCAATGATTCTCTCTCATCACTGATGTTTCCATCTCTCTCTCCTCCCTTCCTCTCTGAAATCAATACAAATGTATTTTTTTAAAAGAACACCCATTGCCCTAACCGGTTTGGCTCAGTGGATAGAGCGTCAGCCTGCGGACTGGGGGGTCCCAGGTTCGATTCCGGTCAGGGGCATGTACCTGGGTTGCGGGCACATCCCCGGTGGGGAATGTGCAGGAGGCAGCTGATCGATGTTCCTCTCTCATCGATGTTTCTAACTCTCTCTCTCCCTTCCTCTCTGTAAAAAATCAATGAAATGTATTTTTTAAAAAATCTTTTAAAAAATCAATAAAATATATATATATTAAAAAAAAGAAACAAAATATTACAAATACTCCATAATCCTCTAAAAAAAAAAAAAGAACACCCATAATCTCCTTACTGTTAAGTAAATTAACACTATTAAATACCTGATTTTTGATTCTTCGTTTATAGTAGAATTTTAGAAAGCTTACTTCTATAAAACCTTTCCTCTCCTTATACCTTTCCTGGCTAATTTCCTCTGCTTTCTCATTGTCCTACCCTAGACACATATGCTCTTTCTTTATCCTCTAAACAAAGACTGCTGATCTCCCTACTTCAAGCAGCCACGAGAAGCCCTCAAACTCTGCAAAATTTGTCTATAACATCCTTATGTTATAGACAACATTTTAAAATAACATTGTTGTTGCAGAAATACAAGTAGCAGGAAAAATAAAACCCATAATCCCAAAATTATAATACTTAGTAATTCAATGCACATTTTTTAATATAAATTTAACTGGTGCCTCCAGATGCAAAATTTCTCAATGGCTGGGCTTTGTCCTTAGGACAAAAGATAAATTCAAACTCTTTAATAGTAATTGTAAATTTCAACTAGCCTTCGACTCCCTACCCAACCTCATTTCTTAAAATTCTTTATAATCATTTTACTGTTTCCATATCCTTATTCCATCCCTTTTTTCTAGGCTCTATGTATACAGTTCTCCCTATGAAATGCTTAATCCCTAGTTCCCTTCAACTTACCCCTACCACTCACTATTATTGCCTGAATATCTGTCTAGTTAATTCTTACCTTGCTGCTGACAGTCCCAAATCTCTTCCATCCAAGAATAATTAATCTAAGCCAGATGTGGCAATCTGATTCATATTGCCAGATACTGGTTAAAGAATGAGTAAGCCACTCAATTCTGACAAATGAGACAAGAAGCAGAGCCTGCTGAAGAAACTACCTTCTCTTATTTCCTTGGGTGATATTCTCAAATGTTCAAAACTGCTGTAACCATTTTGTGTCGGGACAACAAAATATTCAAAGTATTCTAAGCCAGTTAAAATCAGATTTCTGTTACTTGTAGCCAAAAGGCCTAGTAACTAATACAGTTACTAACTCTTCATTTCCCATTTTAGACATCTTTTCTTCTGGGAAAAGTTCCTGGCACATTCAAAACCTGCCATGTTCCCAATGACTTATCATAATACCCTATGCCTATCTGCACCATACCTATCACCAAAGTGTATTAAATGACTATGCAAAGATCTGTTTTGTCAACTAAAGTATAACCTCTTTGGGAACAGTGACTATTAACTAATTTAAGGTCATGTTCCCATCTGGAGTAAAGAGTACTCAAAAGAAATCGGAGAACTAAATAAATAATTAGTGTAAATGCCAGTATAATGTTTTATTTTTGCAACCATTCAAAGGAGGACATTGCCAAAAGTGATGGCATAAATTTAATAAATCATAAACTTCGCTTTTGAGGGCTTGATAGTAAAAACAATTTTATAACTTCCAGTACATGAATTTTAAAAATAATCATTAATAAAAAGAAATCAGATCCAAGTAATTTTGGATGATTATTATGTCTGTCAAGTGCATTACGGCTTCATTACACACAGGATGCTCAAATACGCATGGCACTGAGGTCAAATTTATATAGCCCAGGTGTTGCTGGTGCTCTCATCAGGATGGGACAGTGTGGAAGTGGCCGTCAATTGTCTCATCATAGGTCCATACTCCAAAGGAGCTACCAACAAATGCTTCTGCTATGCACATTTCGTATCAAACAGCCAGCACTTTTTAAATGTATATTCAAGACCAGAAATAGGTTTGTATTGGTGAAAATAATGGTCTGTTAACTAGTACAGTAAGTATTAAAAAAAAATATTCAGAGACAATTGCATGAAAAAAGTATAAGAAATCTGTGAGGTCCTTAGAGATGGAGCTCAAGTCTAGATGCCTAACCAAGCCTCTATATCAGGGTTGAAGTCCAGCGTGATGGCCATAGAAGACGCGAGAAATCATTTGGTCAGGCCCTGCCAAGGCATTAGGTTAAATGTTTGACAGAATATAACAGGCTAATTTTTAAGTTGATAATTTTGTATGGCCTGCAATTATGTTATAAATATCCAAATGGCCCTTGGTAGAAAAAAGTTTCCCCACCCCTGTTCTATATAGACAACATCGGTTTAGAGGAATTTCTCTCATTATTCATATTAACTGTAAGAGTAACAAGATTCTATCATTGAAATATTGCTGTGTAAACGTTCATGCAATGTGTTTTGATTGCAAAATCTAGAAAAGACCTGAATTTCATCAAGCTCATAAACCATTTATATATGGTTTTGTGTATAAAATTTGGTTAATTAGCTTTCAGCCCTTGCTGGTTTGGCTCAATGGATAGAACGTTGGCCCAAGGACTGAAGGACCCCAGGTTCAATTCCAGTCAAGGGCATGTGTGGGGAGGCAACCAATCAATGTGTCTCTCTCTTTGATATTTCTCTTTCTCTGTCTCTCCCCCTCTCTTCCACTCTCTAAAAATCAATGGAAAAATATCTTTGGGTAAGGATTAAAAAAAGAAGAAGAAAAAAAAGAAATTAGCTTTCAAATAATAACAAGACTGTGGCGGACTACTTCTAGGATGTTTTCAATGGCTACTGTTATCTATCAAGCTAACATGGTGGTTATTGTAAACTGAGTTATTTTAATTTGCAACAATTACCAATGCAAACATATATCTGGGAAATATACCAACAAAAACTTTGATTGACAATACGTATGACAAAAAAAAAAAAAAATCCACACTATAGTTCCATGCTCTATGTCATATACCAGTCTACAGAGAAGTAGCTGAGTTTTCTTTTCTATCATGTACTTTGTGATGTGAAAAGGGGTTGCCATCTTAGTATACCTAAAATGACACTACTTGCCCTAACCGGTTTGGCTCAGTGGATAGAGTAGGGGTCCTCAAACTTTTTAAACAGGGGCCAGTTCACTGTCCCTCAGACCGTTGGAGGGCCGGACTATAGTTTAAAAAAAAACTATGAACAAAGTCCTATGCACACTGCACATATCTTATTTTGAAGTAAAAAAACAAAACGGGAACAAATACAATATTTGTATTTGCATGTGGCCCACGGGCTGTAGTTTGAGGACCCCTGGGATAGAGCATCGGCCTGTGGACTGAAGGGTCCTAGGTTTGATTCTGGTCAAGGGCACGTATCCTTGGTTGCGGGCACATCTCCAGTAGTGTGTGTGCAGGAGGCAGCTGATCGATGTTTCTAACTCTCTATCCCTCTCCCTTCCTCTCTGTAAAAACTCAATAAAATATATTTTAAATAAATAAAATAAAAGGACATTACTTGACCATCAGGAAAAAATGTGTGATGCATCCAAATCCTTGACTTAGTACCATCAAGGAAAGACCATGGCTGAGTGAGAACGTGTAGTTAGTCCCCAAGAGACTCAGATCCAGATTTGTCCCTACTGTCTCTCAGTTGTCTGTCTGTGAGAAGGTCACTGCATTTTCTTCCAATACCTCAACTTCTAAAAAAATGTGGAACTTGTACCAGTCAGGTACAAGGTAGTCATGACCTCTCTTACAGAACATTAAATATTAGTAACGTTAAGTTAGTCTATAAACACTTGGGGCAGAAAATAAAACTGTGGCCTTCGAATCTAGAAATGTATTACATAAAATATTTAAGAAATTCCATCTCCCTTTTTCTATTGCTCTTTGATAGCAGTACATTCTGTTGTTCATCTTTACAAATCAGTTAGTAAGTGGTTAATGAAAAATGATTAACTGTAACAGTCACATTTACAAACTGGGAAAAGATGACTGTAAGTTCATTTTAGAGCGAGAACACCTTGGTTCTAGCCAGTATTCTGTGAGAACCCAATTAGAGAACCGCTGAAATTGATATTCTTGAAAGTTCTTTCCAGCCTGCTCAAGACACTTTTGTGTACACTGTGCTCTGTATGAAATCTCCCAGATTAATAGTATGCTTTCATTAAACTGATAAAATGTTAAAATTTATAAATCCTTATCTTTAAAATTTAATGTTCCCTTTGAAGGCAAGGCACAGGAAGCACAAGGGAAGGAAGAAGGAGAAACATTTCAATAAAGAATATTCTTTTCTATCTTGACAAAACCAATCCAATTTCTGTAATACAAGTTAAAAACTGTATTATTTATATGTAACCTCACCTTAAAGATAGCTTTTCTGTAATAAATTTCTCCCAGGGAGCAAGAATATCTGAATTTCTGAAACTCAAATATTTAAGAAAGCAACAAGTTTTAGACAGTTTCAAGCAGGATACAAAAACCCTAGAAAGATCATTCCATACAAATGATACTAAATACAGCCATTTTATCTGCTTTTTATATAACTTCATTTCAGTTTGGCAAAATAGTTTACATTTCAATTAATTAAAAGAGCTCTACTTTGATGTCAGTTTCATTGTACTTACTAAAGTGTATCTGGAGGACCAATAATAAGGACTTCCCATCGGTAGAGATCATTGTCATCTATTAAACCTGCTGAAAAACCTTCCACTGGATTTTTGTTGAGTTCTGTGGAGAAAGAAAAATTTGATCAAACCTTTAAAATTAAATCACATAAATTTCACCCAACAGATGAATTACAAAACTTGAATATACATTTTATTAATTCTAAACTATTAAATAAATATAACGGGATTCATTAGCAAAATGCTACCTGATGACCAAAACATTTCCAACTCTGATGACACAAGGAGCCAAATGAGCAAAAGTAAACTAAACTTCCCAGAAGATCATCTTCTACTGCCCTCTCACTTCTACCCTGGTTTCAACTAGGTTCTTATTCTAGTAGCTCTACAATAGTATAGAGACACAGTGGTGTAGAGGACTTGTAAAAATGCAGATATCCAGGCCCATTCACCAGAAATTCTGTTTCAGAGGGAAATTATTCAACCAATACTTCTGACAATTCTTATGCTGTGGTCTATAGGATGCACTTTCAGAGTGCCTAACACTAACAGAGTGCCTAACACCTTTTCATTGGGATTTGCTGAGCTTAACCAATCTTCACTTAATACTAATATCTACGTATCTTTTTGTCAACTCCTCTGTAATCCTGGGAAATATACACCTACAGTGGATGCTCAAACGTGCCCTGCTTGTGTGTGTTAATCCTTCTGCTGGCCACCGCTTCCAGCACACAAGAGTGGCTTAAGAATAATTCCCAGTCCAGACAGTGCAGCTCAGTGGTTGAGCATCGACCTAGGAATCAGGAGGCGTCACGGATAGATTCCTGGGGCAGCAGCAATCGACCTGCCCGCCCGGGTGTCCCATGTGCGACCCTGGCTGCCAGGAGGATGTCAGACTGCAAGCTTAGGCCTGATCCTCGGGGAGTGGGCCTAAGTCAACAGATGGACATCCCCCAAAGGGTCCTGGACTGCAAATGGGCGCAGGCCGGGCTGAGAGGGAGGACCCCCTCTAGTAACACATAAAAAAGATACTGAAAATGGAAACATAGGAATTACATTTTAATCTTATTTTGTTTATGCATGCAAACATTTACTGAATGCTAACTACACAAAGAGCTGAAAGTCCCACTTTTACTGTCAATTGAGAGACAGGGTAGAGCACAGACAACTGCAAAATGGAGTTATCTCATTCCCAATCTTTTTCTAGATAAACACAGACCATTTACCCAACACTATACAAGAGTCTTGTGGAAGATTCTATAATTTATCTAGAAATCACCTAGTTACTACAGTTTCTGTCTGAAGTTTTGTGGAGTTTTATAAATGTAGTTGGGTAAGCTCTGAAATGAGCATATATGGTTTTAAAAAAAAAGCCCTTAACAATTTTCTTATACTTCCCATAAAGTATATCATTACATGTCACTTTTGTAAATACACAGTAAGTTCTTAAAATCTTTTGCACATTTTTTCCATGCTTTTCTTCCATAGGAATTGTGTCAAAAGCAATGTTGAAGAATGTACAAGCACTTCAAACTCAAATGCCACGAATTTGATATGGCTTTTGCCCTCTACCATGAGTCCTCATAGGTCCATGGATATTCAACAGGTTTAATTTACCTATAGTTGCAGATTACCATACCTTCATGAATGCTTCCTTTAAAGTCCAGTTCAAGTAATACCTTCCTCCATGAGGCCTTCCTTAATTTACCAAAAAATCTTCTTCTGACTTCGGAGTTCCTATTAATTATACTTGTTGTCTGCACTACATCACCTGGCACTTAACTATCAGCTCCTGATTCCACAATGTGTGTAAACTCTCCAACATTAGTACAGAAATGTGGAGAGCACAAAAGAAGGGCACATTATAATCATGAAGAGATAGAAAGCTTCTAAAAAAGAGAGGAGACATCTGAAATAAGACAAAGGATTTGGGCAAGAGAGTTTCTAGAGTTAGAACAAATACAAAAATTGAAATATGGGCATCAGTATATAGAACAAAGGGGATGCATTAAGTTGAAACCACACAGAAGGAACTGGACAGCAAAGAGCCTTTTTAAGAAATATAAGTTTAGACTTTATATCCTGAGGACTACGATGATGAGCCTCTTTGTTTGTGTTTTGTTTTTAAAACAATGAGATAACCTCTTAAGATTTACATTTTTGAAAACCAACTTTTCAGTAAGTGAAAGATGACACAGAGTAAGGCCATGGTGATGACAAAGAAAACAAAAAAGAAGCTAGTAAAGTAATCCTGGAAAGTGTACCTTTAGTATATGGTAGAGGAATAGTGATGAAAAACAGGAATATTTAGAACACAGAATAACCAACCAAGCTTCGTGATTGTGGGGGGTTAAAATAATAAGTTAAAAATCACACACAATTCCTCAAAAACTTAAAGATAGAGTTCCAATGTAACACAGCAATTCCACTCCTAGATATATACCCAAGAGAAATGGAAACATCTGTTCACACAGGAAGTTGCACACAAATGTTTATATAGCAGCATTGCTTATAATAGTAAAAAGGTGGAAACAACCCAAATATCTATCAACAAATGAATAAACAAATTATGGCATATTCACATAATGGAATATTATCAGCCATAAAAATGAAGTTCTGATACATGTTACAACTTAAAAGAATCTCAAAAAAATCAGGCTAAGTGAAAGAAACCAGACACTAAGGTCACATATTGTATGACTCCTTTGATAGATCCAGAAAAGGCAAATCCACAGAAACAGAAAGCAGAATAGAGGTTACCAATGGATGGGCGAGGGGGTAATGGGATGTGATTACTTAATAGGTAGGTATTGGGGGAGGGGGTGTTATAGAATGATGAAAAAGTTTTGAAACTAAATAGTGGTTGCACATTGTGAATACACTAAACACCACTGAAATATATACTTTAAAATGGCTAAATTAATCAGTAAACACTTCTGAGTTTGTGTTACAGATTAAGCTCTGCACGCCGCCCCCCCCCCCTTTTTTTTCTGGAAATTTGTGAAGTGCTTCTGATTTCCAATGGTCACATTGTCCGGGCCTCCCTAGGCTCAATTCCTACAGAGAATATTAAGCAGCTTTCCACATTAACATAAAGGTTTTATTTTCTGTTAGTTTTTAAGTCCAACTTTTTAAGTCTTTTAAGATTTAGATATTTTTAGATGGAACATTAAACTTTTGTTTTGCTTGAAGAACCAAGGTTACCTTGGTATTACTGTATAGTATATCTGCATGCACACCATTTTTGTGTAAAAACAATTTTTACTATAAAGACATTTCAAGAAATTTAAGAGAAGTGCTTTTGAGTTATATGGTATGGCATAAATACTTTCAATTACTAATCACATAACTAAATGTTATTGAACTGCATTCATAAATGAGTTCAATGGTCCTTTGGATGACTCAGAATAACCTAATTTTGCCTCTCCTCTCCTCAAATGGAAACATATGCTTATACTTGTAGTGTTCGTTGTATTTTTCCCTCATTTTTAAAAATTTGTGACACATTGAAATGTGCCTATAGGAAGTTAAGAAAGGTATTTTGCAAGCAATTTCTATAAAGCCTTTCTTGGCAATAAAATTCCTTTACATTTTCAATTAAATTTCACAGTGGGAAGAAATAAATTCAATGAAAAGAGCTAAGTAAAGAATCTTAACATTTCTATTAGCCATTGGAAAAGCTTCACTTTCTGTCCTTTAATTAAAATCCACATTTCTCTTATCAGTTTTGTATTCTGCATTTGTGCCCCAGTGAACATTCAGTGATGTAGCTAATATGCCAGGCTGGTGTCCTAACTGGATGAGTGTGTGTGTGTGTGTGTGTGTATTATAAACAAGGGTGCATGTATAATGTGTGTTTTAACCAGCTCCAGAAAGCTGTTGGAAACGAAGATTTCTTTTGCCAAGAGCAAATTGCCAATGGTCAAAGTTATGACTCTGGTAGACTTTTAGTAATAACTAGATGCCAATACAGTCATTGCAAAGGTTAAGACCCTGCATCACTGAGTTATAAAATTGTAACTCTCACTCTGCAATGGCAGATAATGATGCACTCAGCAGGGCTGCTCTAGGTTTTCTGATGCTTCACTAACCTGAAAAGTAGTTTCAGGTCTTTTTAAGGACCACATATACTAAAGGGACAAACTTTCAGTAAAATTGACCATTAGGGGAGAAATAACCCATCATTTTCTTGGACAGATAACAGTTCTTACATACTGGATATGGGGCAATACTTTTCTCACCTTCCCCATCCTTTGATTTTTCATTTGTGAAATGTAGGAGAAGGTTTTGCTTTTTGGAATTCCAATCTTTTGCAGGCTTTATTGATTTATGTTTCTGTAAAGTGACCATCAATGTATTAGTTTATATAAGTTATTTAGGATTATTATACAATTTATATGCTTGTTAATATTAGCATCATTAAACTCTTATGATGTTCTTTAAAAAGGTCGAAGCACCTGAGTACAGACAGTCCTCGGGTACGTAGGACTCAACGTACGTGTTTACGTCGCCATCTCCCATTTACAATATTTATTTAAAAAAAGTTCCGTCATTTCCACGTATGTACATATGTGCTTTATGTTTTTTATTATTTATTTACCACAAGTAAAGGTCAGGAATTGTTAACTTTCCTTTTAAGTTTTCTTTTTACTGTTTCACTTCATTACTGCTGTGTGTGTGCTCCATGTGAGTGACATAGGTACTTATGTAGGTGGGTTCCAACTTACAGGAACGGATCTCTGACATAACCAGAGGACCTACTGTAGTACTACAGAAAGAAGTGGAATCAAGTTCATGATCATTTTAATGAGTCACTGAAAAACACCTGGTTTTCAAAGCAAGGCTACAATTCTTAAATTGAAGACTGAGGGCACCGTGGCCGGTGTGGCTCAATGTTAAAAGTGTCTGCCTGGGCAAAGAAGGATCACAGGTTCAATCCCTGCCCCTGCATGTGAAAGGCAACCAATCAATGTGTCTCTTTCACATCAATGTTTCTCTCCCTCCTTCTCTCTCCCCTCTTCCTCTCCCAGTCCCTCCCCCTTTCACTCTCTCTAAAAATCAATGGAAAAAATATCTGCTAGTGAGGACTAACAAAACAAAACAAAAAAACTTGGAGTAATGAAAGAAAATTATATCAAATCACCACATCACTTATCTTGGATTCAAATATGAAAAGTAGCCTCATAAAAAAAAGTATCAATTCTGTAAATAATGAGATAAGCAGAATTTAAAAATTTTAATGCCCAGCACTAACATTGACTGATTGTACTAGAAAGGCATTATTTCTTTCTCTCTCATGTAGTATACATGTAGACAAAACACCTTTTATAATCCTTAACTTTGTCTTTAAATAGATAGGGATTTCTAAATTATTACAGATGCTATTGAAGTAAAAACAAAAGAAAAAAATCAGAGTCCGGGGAGAGATACTGAGCAGTGTTCAAGGTTAATCGATGATTGGTTTGCCTTTAATCTTTGGTCAAAGTCACTAAAATCAGATGATGATGACCAAGGGTCTCAAGTCAAATGGGGCTAAGTTCAGACCTCAGTCACTTGCTACTTTGATTTTAGTGATCTTGAGCAAGGTTATTAAAACTTTCTGAGGCTTATTTTCTTTACCTATATAATGGGATGATATCTACCTTCCAGGGCTTTTATAAGGATAAATTTGGTCATGTTTATAAAGCATTTACAGCAAAGAGTTTGGTACTTAGTAGCTAATGTAGCTATAAATCTTAAAGGAATTTTATTTCTAACTATTTTCTGAAAGTGTATAATTCATGAAATGAGCAGAAAAATACTCTCACATTGAGTTTCTTGTGTTGAAGTTGTCTAATTGTCCAGATGTAAGTGATTTACTTTGCATATATTTTCTGGAAACTCTTCTTACCTCATGGAGCCTAAGATATGCCAGAATATTTTTTAAAGTAAAGGAAAAATACTATTTTTATCATTAGATCAAGTCTGATTATATCTACTTTATCTCCATTTAAATAATCAGAATATTGGTGATATCTACTGAATTTTTACTTATTATAAGAGCAATTAACAAACAAGACATTAGGAAGATATTTCCTATCAAATATCCATTGGCTTTTTCATGTTAACAAATTGTAAAGATACAAATAAAATATATTTAAAATCATAAAAAGGTATATCATCAAAAAGTTCTGGAACTGTGGTTCATTCCAACCCATATTCCAGACACGATATATATGAGTGACAAGGACACAAGAGCATTAATAAACCAGGTTGCTGGGAAGAAAATCAGTAAAGTTGATTCTGAAGGTCTGGCTTTAATTAATTTGTTAAGAACAGAGTGGCTGAGAAAATGTGCAGGACCATTTAACTATTAAGCACTTTTACTTCCCCTCAAATTTCTTTTCTTCATTTTAAAAAAGCACCTATTTTTTTTATTGATTTCAGAGAGGAAGGGAGAGGGAGAGAGTGGTAGAAACATCAGTAATGAGAGAAAATCATTGATTGGCTGCCTCATGCCCCCTTCTGGAGATCAAGCCCGCAACCCTGGCACATGCCCTGACTGGAATCGAACCATGACCTCCTTGTTCATAGGTTGATGCTCAACCACTGAACCATGCCGGCTGGGCCCCTTCAAATTTTTAAGATTTTAATAAACAAAATAGAAATAGATTCACAGATACAGAGAACAAACTGACAGCTGTCAGAGAGAAAGGAGACTGGATGGCTAGGGGGAAAAGGTGAAGGGATTAAGCAAAGGAAAAAAACTCAGACACAGACAACAGTATAATGATTACCAGAGGAAAAGGGGGGGTGTAGGGAGGTAATATAGGGCCATGGGGGGTTAATAGAGATGGAAGGAGACTTGGGTGGTGAACACACTATACAATATACAGATGAGGTATTATAGATTTATCTCCATTGATTTTTAGAGACAGTGGAAGGGAGGCAGAAAGACAGAGAGAGAGAAACATAGATATGAGAGAGACACATTGATTTGTTGTCTCCCGAACAGGGAGGGAGATTGAGCCTGCAACTGAGACATGTGCCTTTGACAGGAATCAAACCGTGGACCCTTCAGACTACATGTGAAACCTATATAATTTTCTTAACCAATAAATTCAATAAAATATTTTTTAAATGGCTACGTGTATGTTATTTGAATTCCAACTGAAGGCCAACACTCTATCCACTGAGCCAAACCGGCCAGGGCTGTACATAATATTTATGCACTTCCCTGTGTGTATTTTATACTTCTTAAAACTCAGTAAATCATGGAGTGTTACAGGATTGTTAAATGAGTTATATATGCATTCTGTGAATTTAGAAATACTGTGGGCCAGAGTGCTCTACAAACCATGAAAAAAAAGGAAACCAAGCACAGGAAATGTCCTTGAGAAGAATGATTTGAATAGGTATAAGTAATGAAATATAATGCATGACTGACTTGCTATGAGAGTTATTATTGAAGGTTAAGACTAAAAGAGAGTGAGGAAAACATGTAAATAGGAAAAAACTCTATAGTCCTGAATTTGAACCGGAAGTATCAGTACAAATTCATGACACAGATTTAAAAATTCTCATCTCACCGTGGGTGGTTTGGCCCATTTCAGTCCGTAGGCTGATGCTCTATCCACTTAGCTAAACCGGTCAGGGCTCCAACTCAATTTTTTAAAATAACAAACAGGTTTCTATATGGAGCAATTGGGTATAAGTCTGTTCATTCTCTGAAGTGAGAAATATATGAAGATATGCTGATTTGAGAGATGAGGGGGAAGAAATGATAAGTTTGGTTTTAAATGCCCATGGGGCATAAGTACAAATATAAATTTCTTTTTTAAAAAGTCTGAGTTAGCCCTAGCCCGTTTGGCTCAGTGGACAGAGCTTCGGCCTAGGGACTGAAGAGCATCACAGGTTCGGTTCCAATCAAGGGCACATGCCTGGGTTGCGGGCTCGATCCCCCTGGTGACATGCAGGAGGCAGCCATCAATGATCCTCTTTCATCACTGATGTTTCTATCTCTCCCTCTCTCTTCTTCTCTGAAATCAATATATATAAAGTCTGAGTTAGAGATAGATTTTGGGGTTATATCAAAACATTGTTGATAACTGAAGTCTTAAGATTGACAACATCACCAAAG